TGGGCAGATTCCAGGGAAATGATTCCCAGGGGGCTGGGGAAGGGGGCTTGGGTGAGACCAGCCGGTCCTTCGGGTCCTCGAGGGGCGTGGGCAGCTCTGGAGGCTTCAGTGGACGGGACGTCGGAGATGTTTGCTGTGAAGACTGCTCTGGCTGCTGGGTGGAGACGTGGAGGGCAGGAGGCAGTTAGATGGGAGCCGCCTGGCCGCGGGGGGAGCGATGTGGTTGGAGGAAGGCTCCGCGGGACTGGGCAGCGTTGGGTGGGTGGTGGGGGAGGAGTGTCTAGTGACGGCCGAGCAGAAACCGGTCTGGGGACACTGAGGCACTCTGTTTTAGAGCTGCCCAGTTTGAAGCGCCTGGGAGGCAGTGTGGAGACGTCAGTGGGCGGGTGGTGTTGGGACCAGACCCTGGGCAGGGCAGACAGGCTTTGGGAGTCCCGGGGTGCAGGTGGCGTGTTGTCTGGAAAGGTGGAAGAAGGGGCCAGGGCTCGTCCTGTGGCGGCAGAGGGCGGGGGCAGCGGGAGAACCCAGGAAGCACCTGTCGGTGAGAGCTGGCTCTGGAAGCAGAAGGTCCATGACCCGGGTGCCACTGAGAACTAGATGCAAAGAGATTGAAAGTAAAAGGATGGAAAAAGATATTCCATGCAAATAGTAACCAAAAGAGAGTTGGGTGGCTGTACCACTAGTAGACAAAATATACTTGAAGTCAAAAACTGTTACAAGAGATAAGGGTACTATGTATTAATTAAAGCATTAATTCATGAAGAAGATTGAAGAATTGTAAACATGCATGCACGAACAGAGCCCCTAATATATACGAAGCAAACACTGGCAGAATTAAAGCGAGAAGTAGAAGGTTCTGTAATAATAATTGGAGATTTCAGTCAAGCAGTGTCAACGATGGGTAGGATATGTAGACAGGATTAATAAGGACATGGAGGCTTGAACAACACTGAAATTCAGCTCGATCTCACAGGCGTTTATAGAACATGCCACCCAACAACAGAATACGTGTTCTTGTCAAGTGCTCATGGAACCTTCTCTAGGATAGAGATATGTTAGGTCACATGTTGGGAAAAAACATGGTTTAATGTATTTTCAGAGACTGAAATAATACAAAGTATATTTTAGCCACAA